TAAGAATTTTCCTCAACATGTTATTTGATTACATAATTTGTATAATGTTATTTCTAATATAATTTACTTACTTAAGTAAATACCACAATTTTCTATTTGAAAAATAAAAATTATTAAAATCTTCCATAGCGTTAGGAAAGAAAATATTTTTGTCTTAAATATCAAGCCATAAATTTTATTTCTTTCCAATTAAAATCTGATAATGTATATTTTGTAAATAACATATAAATGGCTCCTAGTGACGCAAATAGCAATTCAGTTGTCAATTTCAGATACCCTTTCAATCATTTATAAAAACAACTAAAATACGTTTTAAAACACGTGACGGTTAGATAACCGAAAAAGATTTTTTATATCCAAAATGTTAACAAAAATTAATATTTTAATCTTAAAATTTGAAACATCTGTAAAAGGCAAATTAAAGTAATATATAGGTACACCTCTTATCGGTTACTTAACTTTTATTGGGCCTTTCTTTTTAAGGGCTCTTTAAGTTAGTATACTGTTATAACTATAATTTTGAATCAAGTAAAAATACAAAAAACGTACAAATTGCAACCTCCTACGAATTTGCCTATATTTATCTATAAGTTTAACTTTTTAAGTTATAGACTATAACATTGTTTATAAAACTGTCCTTATTCTAGAGTACGTTTGCCTGTGTACACTTGACAAGCATAACCCAGACAATGTTTTGATATGCTTGATCGCAACAATGTGTTAACACATCGCAATATGTTAACACATCGCAAGGTGTTAAATGATCTTTCAATGGTAACGCTGGTTGGTGAAATGCTAAAAATATAGCCTTTTTTATTAATGGATTTGGACGAAAGTGTCTAGGTTTTCGTGAACATTGTTTGTTTTCCACAGTTCTACCCACGTTTTAATTTCTGTTGTGAAGTTTTCGAGGTAATATTTTTGGTAAATTTTTATCCTTTCTATGTAAAATTTCTTTTCCTTTTTTTTGAAATGAATTTCCAAGTAAAAAGCTGTTGGGCTCTTTAGATAATCTTATCGAAATGACTGTATCACAGAATTTATTATGGGATAAAAAGTGTAAAAAAATCGATTTTTTGTTACATTATGTAACTTGCATAGTCAAACATAATTAGTACAAAATGACAAAATTGTACCTATGTATACATATAGGATTAGTATACTAAGCCTATATAGTTATATATAGTTATATATAACTAGTTTATGAGGCCCCTATGATGTGGAGGCCCGGGGCTGCAGCCCCCTTAATCCAGCCCTGCTGATAAGCAAATTTTATCAAGAAATATTTTCCTGGTAAACAGTTGGTAAAGAAAATGAAGAAGTGCTAATAAAAAATAAAAATATATAGTTGTTATTCAAACACAAATCAATAAAGACGGAATTTCTATTCACATAAACGTCCAGTCCAGTCCCTATATAATTTTTTATTGATGCACCAGAATCTTTATGTTTAAATTTTTGTAATTTTTTTCACGTATTCATATAATTTAAAAAACAAATTATATATTTCCAGTTGTATGACGTGATTTTGCATAAAAACGTTTTTCCGTTTTTCTTAAGACTATTATTTTTGGACATGTGGGGTTTCTCAAATATGTAATTCACTTAGTCCAGTAGGTACTACTAGTCACAGATCAATACATTTTTTAGAATACCTATATACCTTACTATTTTTTATTGGGATGATATTTTATTTATTTGTTTTTTGTCAATTGTAATTTGTTGACAATAAAATTTCCATATTATAAATAATTGTATTTGTACCAGTTAGTTATTGTAAAAATTTAGTTAAAATTCCAATTATTGCTAAATGAGCACTACAAAGTTGGTAAGTAGTTAGGATGTCGGCAAAAATAACTTGCATTCTCTGAGTATTTAAAAAATTATATTATTTAGGTTTTCGTATTATTTTGACTATCTACGTGCCGTTTAATTTATGTTAAGTACCTACCTACTCAATTTTGAATCACCTTGTATTATTATTATAATATATTATTTTATATTTTAAATAGTGATTTGTATTAATATTTATGTGTCCTTGTTTTCCTTTTAATTTCCTTGAATATTTCTTTTATTTTTAGTTAATTTAATATTAAAAAACATATAATGTTATAGGTGGTCAAAATTTCTCAAATGGGCCACCAACCAAGTTGTATCTTTTTAGTTTTGGAACTCTTAAGGTTTAAAAAAAGCTAAATTTTTTTTAAAAATCTTACAACCAATTAAAGCTTGTGCTACTTTTAAAGTTATAAAAGTTATAAAGTGCTCTTTTAGTTCCACCCTTACATCCAAACTAAGATGTCCCATAAGCCAACTGAATGGCTTGTGCGGGTTAGGGGTAGGAACGGACCGACGGCTTAAAGTCCCCTCCGAAGGACTATACACAATGGACAAACACAAATAAACAACCATACCCAAGTGGGATTCGAACCCACCCCCAAAATATAATAAATTGTAAAAGTAATTCCAGGAGCACTGACCACTACACCACCGAGGTCGGTGGGGTTTGAGCATGTATCTTTTATTGAAACTTTACATGTGATACATCAAAATTTGTATAAAAGACTGAATGTTATGTTATGAAAAACAAAAACAATCAGGTATTATATTTATTATAAATAAAATCTGGGTATATGTACAAAGTTTTCACACAATAATAAACCTTGTGTCCCACATTTTCCTAGGTTATCTATCATTTTCGGGATTTGATGAACTAGGAAATTGTGTTCCAATTTTTGCCACCTCACCATTTTCTTCAGTACCACGTCCCAGTACTTGACAGAGGAAGACCTATCGTAGCAGCACGAGCTCTTAAAACGTAAAAACCATGTCCAACAATAACTTCTCATAAAGTGCAAACAAACTATAGGGTAACAGCCATAACCATCAAATAATCTCTCAAAAAGTGCAAACAAATTATAGTGTAACAACTACTGTGAGTACAGACTACTCTACGGTCAAGAATGAGTTAAGTGCTAAGTGATAACGAAGAGTTAAGCGACAAGTGCAAACGGTCAATAAAGAGTTACGTGTTAAGTGACAAGAAAGAGTTAATCTTGTGAGCGGTCGCACCACCTGTCAACCGGACGATTTTCACTGGCCAAACAAAAGAGGTCAAACAAGGGAGGAATAGGCCATCTGCAAAAATTTGATAAGTATCCTCAACTCATCTGCATGACCTAACACATAATTTGCAAAATTAAACAAGACAAGGCACACTGCCTAATCTCTACAAAAAAACATTAAACATCGGTAACAATAAAAACATTAGAAAGATAATAACTACTAACTAACCAAAAATTAACTTCCCAACCGAATCTATCGCGGCATACACCAAAGCTGAGTGGGACAATAAATCTGTCAACAAAACAGTCCAAGATTAACAAAAGCGAGACCATATAAGCATTTGACACTAGAACATAAACTATAGTGTTATAATACTCAATAAATCCCAAATCCCAAACAAAGTAAAAACAGCAAAATAATCAAATTCTATTGGATTTGTAAACACATTAGATTATAAAAGAATAATTGCGCTTGTCATTTGTTTAACTATTAAATAAATTCAATACTTAATTTTGGAAATTAATAAAAAAAGACAAAACAATTCTACCACAAAACGTGCTTTTGCAATAACTAAATTTTTTTAGAAATTTCGCACTACTGCGCCAATAAACAATTTAAAAAAACATCAAAAACCACAAGTTACATACCCAACCACTGAACTATCTATTGATGGTTTTCGGCCTCAAGACTGAAGACACATGTGCAGGAACAATCCTACTTGGACACGAACAATAACGACAAAAACGTATACCAAGACGTAGGCTCCTGCAGCAAAATAACAACTCCCGAACTCCATACAGTAATCCCAAATGTTTGGAGTAATACTAACTGCCTGGTCTAAGGGGGTACCGCGTTGTACTTAGATTTAAGTCGGCGTAATTGTCCCCCAAACACCAAACTGTCTATCCCTCCCGTCCTACCTCCTTCATGACCCTACTGGGCGTATAGCATCGGCTCGGCGAACCCGGGAATGGCTACTAAAACTATTGGCATTTCGCTCTCGAGCCCTAATTAGGGGACAGTACGGGACGCAATGGACATTCGCAACCAGCAAACACGGGCGAAAGAAAATCGGCGCAAGGAATTAGAGGCCTATGCGGGCCCAGGAGCGATGAGGGAATGGGGCCTGTTATACCTACGTCTCATACTCATACTCACCTTTTTTTCAGTACCAATTTAGAAGGTACCTTAATAGGTAACCCTAATAAAATATAAAAAAACGTATTACATTTTTATTTGGTCCAACTTTCCGGGCCACTATAAACTCGACGGGCCCCCAACTGCTCCTAGGATAAACCGGCACTGCCTATTTTGTAATTAAATTACTTAAAATTTACCAAGATTCATCTAAAAAAAAGGTAACTACCTAATCTATATTAAGGTTTTCTTAAATTAAATTAACCGCTAAAACTTCATGTGATTTTAAAATTGCCACAAATCTAATGGCTTAATCGGCAATAAGGTATAAGTCTGTCACTATTAGACATATACCAAATCAATAGTATTTCCATAGCAGCCCGGAAATTGGCGCCAAAAAATCGAACCTTATTGGTTTTGCGCACCCCGATCACATCCCTCCAATCATCCCAGTCAAGAGAAATAAAGGCTCTCAGCCCACTGCAACTCAGGTGATGTGGGGTGGCGAACGCATACAATCGAGCGCTCGGGGATCAAAAACAAGTGAGGGCAACAGCGAGCAAGCGCGCGCGACAAGTACCCAAACCCATGGCCTGCCGCTATTTGCTCCGAGCTTCTCAGTCTGTGTTCTCAGTTCTAGTAACACCGTGAGGCAAAACTGACGCAGCTCAACGACAAGTATTATAGTGCACGTGCTCGACAAATACACAGTGATGTTAGTTTTTTCGAAAACTTTATTATGATTTTTGAATGGTGCGCGGTGTGATTTTTGAAATCAGTGCTGTGTTAAAGTTGCCATGATTATTTCAAAAGATTTGTTTTTGCTGGGGGATCAAGACTATTTGAGGCTCCCGAATAAAGACGAAAAACGGCCCACTATGTTAAGACCTGCAGTCAAACCACAAAGGTAACATAACCTCACATTATCATATTCCTATCAGACATTCTTAAAATAATCGGTAAACCAGTTATTTCGAATTTACTCTACTAAATTAAATTGGTGTTTGGTGTGTGCGACAAACATTTTTAACAGGAAAAAAATATTTCGCGCTCAAAATAAACTAAATTTGTAGACGTAACAAAACGTTAATAATTTTAATAATAATAGGCTCGAGCCTATACAATTTTCGTTTTGACAATTTAAATAAATTTTACGTTCACAATTGATAGGTATCCTAATTTGAATACCTATGTTCACTTAATTTTTGTAGTCAATGGTTGAAGACAAATTATTTAATACTTAAATAAATCTTTAACTGATACACACAACAATACAATTAAAACAACGTTATTGGTTTTGTTTATTTTATTTTTAAACACGTTTCCCAAATTTCAAAGTGCTAATTGAACATTCATTTTGCAAAAGCAAAAGGTGACTAAAAGTAAAATTTCACACTTAAAAATGTTTTTAAATAAAAAATATTGAAATTAAACTGCAACTGCATTGTAAATTATAAACAAAAACGACTGTTGCAGTCTTTGTCCTATTGTCAAAACAAGTTTAAAATAACAGGTACATATTTTTAAAAACCTATATACCTACATAACCGCAAAAAATAATCGGATTGTTAATATAATATTTTAAATACCTATTTATTTACTTAAATATTTATTCGTTTATTTACTTATTAGGTTGGTATGTTTTTTGACACGAATTAAATTAATTTTAATTTAAGTTGTCAGAAATGTAGGTAGGTAAAGGGATTTTTATTAATTTTATACTTTTCTAATTTTCTTTTAGCAAGTTTATTCGCACTTTTTATTAAGGAGAAATTTATTATTCCAATTCAAAGTTTCAAGGTCAAATCTATTTCAAGGTCCACGCGTCTGCTTAAAATTGTACCTTACACATTTTTTAAATCACAATTCATTAGTAGCCAATGGCTACCAGCCATATCGTAATAGGAGAAATTTTTATATATAAAAGTGGACCAATCAGAGCGCATTATTTGTCACTCAATTTCGTTGCCTTTTGATTTGAATTTTTTGAAGTTTTGGTTTAACAAAATTGTCTTCCGAATACCACTCAAAAAATATATATCAGAATATTTTGAGGTGTGATATAGTGAACATTTTTTGTGGTTTACTATTCAAAGCAAGAACAAACAATATTCGCTTTATCACACCTCAAAATATTCGACATATTTTCTTATTACTCGTAGTACCTATTATATATGAAAATTTGGACTAAAGTATCTTGGTAATTATTTTTGAATCTGAACGGTGCCTACTTAATTTAATACTTAAATTAAAACAGTTAGTTTTATTTAAAGATGTAAAATTAAATTTATGGTAATAAATTGTTATGTAAAAAATTATAAACAAGTTTATTAATTTTAGTCAATGAATTACAGATACGGCATCTGAAATACCCATTTTTTAAAAGTTTATTGAAAGAATTTAAAAAAATGTATCTTCTATAATTTAAACTTTATTATTGTCAACACGCACTATTACGGTGATTGGTTATCGCCTAGAATGTAAAAATAATTTAGACCAATTGGATCAAGTTTTTTCCCTCCTAGTGTGTAAAAAACCTGTTTAGACCAATCAAAAAATTCGACTTATGTCATTTTTATCTAACCTCACTTTCTACTTTTAATAATAATTATTATTATTGTACGTTTTATGTATTGTTTAACAAATAAAATGGTTCCTTGAATATTGTATACCATTTTGCTGAGAAGTGTCTTGTTGTACTTCGCTCAATTCTGGCTAACGAGTCGGACTTCAAACTTTGAGCTTAGCACATAGAGACTCACTTCTCATCCTTATAACATAAATAACCATAACCTAAATTATAGAAATTATTTATTTTATTAATAAAAAATCAGTCAGGTTCCAGCACTTGACAAGGCAAGACGCATTGTAGCAGCGAGAGCTCTTAAAACGTAAAAGTTTAACCAACATAATTTCTCAAAAGTGCAAACCATCTATGGTAAAACAACTACAGTGAGTATAGATTACCCTACGGTCAAGAATGAGTTAAGAGTTAAGTGATAAGAAAGAGTTAAGTGACAAGTGAGCTTCTGCCCAGATAGCACAAAGAAGTACTGGAAACGTCCTGAGTATGTCTTGTATCAGACATTAGTGTCCCGAGTACGTCCGAATCAGGTCCTGAACCTTTCCCAGGACGTACCAGGGACATTCGATGTTACCAAATCGTCGCTCCCCAGAACGTCCTAAGTAAGACATCCTCTGGCCGTCCTGAAATACGGCCATTGTACATCCAAACATCCAATGTAAGTCCATTTGACGTCCATTGGACATCTTGTGCTGTATGGGAAAGAGTGAAATGTTGTGATAAGAAAGAGTTAAGTGACAAGTTTCAGCTTCTGGGTGGTTTTACCACCTGTCATTGGACGCTTTTCACTAGAAAAAACAAAACTTCCCATTCGAACTATCGCTGTAATACACCAAAACTGAGTAGGACAATAAATCTGTCAACAACAAATGCATAAGTAACTTAAAGGCTCCAACAAAACGAGACCAATAATAAACATTTGACACTTATAAAATAAACTAACACTCAATAAATCATAAAAACCCAAACATAGTAAAAACATCATACTAATCAAACTCTATTGGATTTGTAAACACATTATAACAGAATAATTGCGCTTGTCATTTGTTTAACTAATAAATAAATGCAATACTTAATTGTGGAAATTAACAAAAAAAGACAAAACAATTCTACCACAAAACGTGCTTGGGCAACACAATAACTGAAAAATTGTTGGAAATTTCGCACTACTGCGGCAATAAACAATTCAAAGAAAACTATCAAAAGCTACAAGTTACATATCCAACTACTGAACTATCTATTGATGGTTGTCGGCCTCAAGACTGAAGAAAAATGTGCAGGAAAAATCCTACTTGGACACGGACACAAACAATGACCAAGTCGTAGGCTCCTGCATCAAAATAACAACTCCCGAACTCCATACAGTAATCCCAAATGTTTGGAGTAATTCTAACTGCCTGGTCTAGGGGGTACCGCGTCGTACTTAGATTTAAGTCGGCGTAATTGTCCCCCAAACACCAAACTGTCTATCCCTCCCGTCCTACCTCCTTCATGACCCTACTGGGCGTATAGCATCGGCTCGGCGAACCCGGGAATGGTTACTAAAACTATTGGCATTTCGCTCTCGAGTCCTAATTAGGGGACAGTACGGGACGCAATGGACATTCACAACCAGCAATCACGGGCGAAAGAAAATCGGCGCAAGGAAACAGAGGCCTAAGCGGGGCCCGGGAGCGATGAGGCAATGGGGCCGGTCTCTTATACTCATACTCATGTACGTTTTATGTATTGTGTAACAAATAAAATTGTTCCTTGAAGATAAAATATTGCTTGCCATTCGCCTGAGAAGTGTCTTGTTGTGCTTCGCTCAATTCTAGCTAACGCGTCGGACTTGAAACTTTGAGCTTAGCACATAAAGACTCACTTCTCATCCTTATAAAATAAATAACCATAACCTAAATTATAGAATCTAATAATTTACAAAATAACTCATTATTAAAATATTTATTATTATGTAAGAAGTACGACATGAAATGAAATACCTACGACCAAAATAGTTATTTATGCCAGAAGCTGAGAAGTGAGTCTTTTTTTGCTGAGCTCAACGTTTGAAGGCCGACACGTTAGTGGAGGTCTACAATTAAGCGAAGCACAAAAATACACTTATCAGCCGAATAGCATACAACATTTTATCTTAAAGGCACAGTTTTATTTGCTAAACGATACATAAAGCGTACTTACAATAATTATTATAATAACAGTTATTTAAAGTATAAAGTAAGGTTGGATAGCTTCAGAACTGACATCAGTTTGGATTGATCCTAACTGGACTTTTACAGACTAGGTTGTAAAAAACCTCCTGAAAAACTTGGTCTAAATTATTTCTACAGCCTTAGAGATAATCAAATACTGGCAGTGAGCGTTAACAACACTAAAGCTTAAATAATAGCACGCTTGATTTTTTAAAAATTGTTTCATTTAAAAGATGATTGTTATGATTTTGTATTCGTATGAATTTTTAAATACCTACCCATCGTGTATCGTGTATTTGTTAATACAAAATAATAGTACCTACATTATCTAACAGGCGGAAAAAGCGATTATTGAAAGCCGATTTTTTTTCAAGCATTAAATAATTCTGTACTTACATAGGTACATTGAAATTATTGAGTTTGCAAATTTTTTACGGTTTGACGTTTGACATATCTGTTATATTATAGGTTATGTTTATAAATTTATTCTACAGCGACCTGTAAGTTTACATTTTTTGTTGTTTTCGAGGTATACGCGATAGATGGAACCACTATGTAATTTCAATGTATTTTCATTATTGCAGGCGGTGTATAATAATTTGGCTTTTGAACTGCGTACGAATATAATGTCTAATGAAAATTGATATACGCTTGAAAAAAAATACATTTATTATTTTTTATTTTAATAGTTCATATTAGGGACATTCCATAAAAATGAGGATTTGTTGAGGAAATTTAAGAACTGTCAATTTGGCAAGCGTCATTTTTTAAGCAATCTATGTCAAAAGGTATCAAAGCTTAATGTAACGCGAGTTACTTTTTGTTGTTTATTTTTTAAAACCAAATGTATCAAAAAACATTAATATTTGTATACATTTCTTTATGTTTAACCTTGATCTCTTTTTGTTATTTAAGAGTACCTCAGTGGCGGCTGGTGGATTTTAAGTATACCAATATCTCAGTTATTAGACATGGGACCCACACCAAATTTATAATAGTTTATATTGACATTAAATAAACAAGTTCGGCGCAAACAGAATTTAAATTGAAGTTTGCGAAAAAAAGTTAGTTTTTCCTGTCGCCTACCCTGCCTCCAGGCCCCCCTATTTGAGATAATTCAAATTAAAGTGG